TTTATTTTTTAAAGGCAGAGAGAGAGAGAGAGAGAGAGAGATCTTTCTTCTACTGGTTCATTCCTCAAATGCCTGCAACAACCAGAGCTAGGAACATGAGCTTAAGGCATGAGCCAGGAACTCCATCAGGGATGGATGGCAGGGACCCAAAGGCTTAAGCCATCACTTGGCACCTTCCAGAGTGTTCTTAAGTGGGAAACTGGATTGGAAGCAGAGGTGGGCTTAAACCCAGGCAATCCAATATGGGATGCGGGCATCCTAGGCAGCAGCTTAACTTCTATACCACAATGCTGTTCATATCAGGCCAAAAAATAGAATGCCCAAAGCATAGTAATTAGTAACTGACCCACAGACCTGAGGTTTTGTAACACTTTTCTCCATGTCTCTATGTAGGCTTGATATGTACATTCTCCTTTGCACTTGAAGCTCTTTTCTTCTTTCCTCATCTCTTTCTCACCCTCCTCCCAGAGCTGAAATCCTTTAATCTGAAACGTTGGTATTAATCTGTATTTTGGCAGTTTAAATTGTTCACAAGAATCCTTTCTTGCTACCTATTGTGTATGATAAAAATTAGAAGTGCTTTAATAAAACTATATTCAAAGTGTAAGTTTAGAATCAGAGAAGGATTTTCAGTTGCAGAGGAAGTGACATGGGAATAAGGCTGGAAACTGAGAGGGAATTTTTCCAGTGGAGGGAACCAGGCAGTGGGAGCAGCCTTCATGCTGCACCAGCCACTGAGGCTGTATCGCAGTTACTATTCAGTTTACAAGACTCCTGCCTTCAAGGAGCAGATATTCCAGTGAGGGAGACAAGCAAGTGTGATGAAAGAAAACTATGTCAGAAGAAGTGAAGAGAGACTAGTGGGGAGGGAGCCTGTTCATTTAGATAAGGTTGTCTGTCATACTGTGTTTTGACAAACCCTAGTCTTGGGATATCTATAAAAATTGGATTTGAGAGACAAGTTAGTTTGAGAAACAGCATGCTGGTAAGCCCTGCCATGTATCTGTTGGAATTCAGACAAATCAAATAATGTGTTTGATGAGAGACCTCCCCTGATCATCAGTAGGGTTTTATGAGCTAAAACCTCAAAGAATACACTGGGAGAAGATGGCCTGGCCCATCAGGACCCCAGTATCCAGGTGAAATAGGAGTGAGCTCAGAGAGGGAGACTGGGGCCTGATGAGAAAGGCCTGGGGACCATGATGAAGAGTCTGTGCCCCACGTACAGCAGAGAGCCAGCAGTGCCGGGGTTTCATTTGGCTCTTAGAAAAGTTACTGTGTGGTAGCGTGGAAGCCATCTTGAGTGAGGCAAGGTTAAATCAAGAAGTTTTGCAATAAAAAACAGAATTACAAAGACCTGAGCAACAGGAAAAGTTGAAAAGACAATTATGTTTATAGGCAGTAAAAAGTGAGTCAGAAAAATTCTTGACATTTAATGTTTTAAACAAATGAAAATGCATCTTCAATAGAGGAAAACTCTATTATTAGCCTTACACCTGTGCCAGTAAGTGAAGGTCATGCCAGAGGTGAAAGGCTAAGCAGTGCTGTGTGGGGAAAAACAAAACAAACAAACAAAAAAAAAAACGGGGCAAAGTAATAACATTCAAAAGTATTTCAGACTCAGCATCTCCACCACGGTTTTCTTTCACCTTTGAAATAAGGGAAGGTTGGAAATGGAGTGGGAAAATATCCGTGTGATCTAGTTTTGAAAGGCTGAGATTTTTTTTTTAAGAAGAAGCAAGGTTGTTACTTCTTTTATGTAAGACAGACTATGACCTTGAATTAGAGACACATTAGCTGCCTGTCTAATTGGTGAGCGCAGCATACCTAGCTGCACAGCATTCTACTCCCCCTAGCCAAGCATGGGCAGGTGGTGACATGCTGCTGCCAGGCACTCATCTGAGCCTCATTGGCAGGCACTGATGCAAGAGGCAAAGAGGAAGTCGCAGCTGGCAGGAAATATTGGAGCATATTAGGAAGAGAGAAGGAAGATAAAATGTTATCTACCATATATTTCTGTTATTACATTGTTTGAGGTGTGTATGTGTGTGTGAATGAATGTAGTGTTTTGTGTCATATGTTCATAACCTGGCTATGATCCATCACTGATCCAATCAGAAAAATATCACCTTGCATGCTCCTTATTCCTCAACTGCAAAAATATCTTGGTTAACCTCTTTAGTAGAATTCTCAAAAAGGAAAAAAAGAATAGTAGATCTCATTGAGAATTAAATTAATGAAGTACCAGTATGATTAATGCTTTTACCAAATTCAGCAGATACAAATACGATGCAGTTTTTTTGTGAGGATGACAAACTGCCTTATTTTATTAAAAAAAAAAAAAAAAACTAATAGTCTTCTTAGGGGACCTTAGTTAACTTATAGAGAATTAAAAGTATAGAGGGAGAAATGTTAAAGAATATCAATTGCCAAAGAGGTTTTCATTGGTTAATTTCTTGTACCCTTTATCTACATTACTCACTATGTCTCTTCCTTTCCTACCTCATCCTCTTACACCTAAATTTGTCTTCCTTTGAATAGCTTTTTTAGCCAATGAGAAGAAACCATAATTGTCTTTTTTTTCATACTTTTAATTTGTATAGAAACTTTCATTCACCTCAGATATGCTGTGCCATGATTGGTGAAGTTGCTTATGAATAGATGGCTGAATAATTTATTTACAGATTTGTAGGCAAATTTTAAATAAATATTCCTATTATTAGCAAAAATAGCAAGATAAAACAGAAAACTAAAATAGATTATTTTTGTTAAGGAAGGATCCTTTCTGTCGGTATGATGGTGTCATCTGATTAGTCTAAATTTCTTTATAAATTGTCTTTCAACTACAGATATTAGATTTTATATATATTACAATATACTTATATAATGTATGTACTTACTTTGATTTACTTTGCAAGAATGTTATTTGAATGCATTCTTTTTTTTTTTTTTTTTAGTGGGAAGTAAAATAGCAAGGTTTATTAGGGAGGGGACATCCATAAGGATGGATGGGCACCTCTCCAGACAGAGCCTGAGAGACTGGGGGGGGCGGTGGAGGTTACATGGTTGAGTGGAGAGATTACACCTGGCCAGACCAGGTAGGCGACTCAGCAGAGAGGTAGGTAGAGGGCTGAGCCCGCAGTCCAGTTGTCCAGTTGAGGCGGGGTGTGTGTGTATGTGTGTGTGTTAAGGAGATGGGTCTTGCTTCCCCACCTGTTCCTCTTGGAACAAAGGGCTTTTTGGATGCAAATATTAAGAAACTTCTCCCTGAGTTTTCTCTTGAAGGTCTGAAATGAAGGACTTTATGGATGCAAATGTTATCAGACTTGAGGAAGGGAGCAGGGTGTTTGAGATGCAGATACTGGGCTGCACCTGGGAGATTGTGGAAGATTTGTCAGGCAGAAGGGGTGGGGACCCCCCACCTGGTAGGTTATCAGGTGGAAGGGGGCAGGGAATGCATTAATTCTTATACCCACATCAAATCAAATGTTGAACTCGCTGTTTTGTGTTTTTGAAAAAGGAGGTTATATATCTCATCATTGAGTTTGTTTGTTTGTTTTGCCCTGTGAATTCATTTTCCCTTCAGATAATTTATGGCATCATTTCAATTTATATTTTGAAGTCTTTCCTTTCCTTAAATTCTGATGCACAGATATTAATTGTATTTTCATTGATGCTTGTCAATAACTATTTGCAAGTTCATCTCAACATAATTTGGATATTTGTATATAAAAGTATCAGAATATGAACTTAGAGTGTTACTTGGAAAACTTTATGACTAATTCATTTTAAAAAATGTATTAGCATTCATTTTAAGTTGACTTTTCATTTTTGCTCTAAAGTCAGTCAAGAAAAGTAGATAGGTCAAATAAGCAGACAGGCAGGATCTTGTGCTCTGTGTCTGGTTGGCATTTACACAGGTCTTTCCTAATAAAAGGTGACATGAAATTCTATAAGACAATCAGAGCACAATCTCGTCAGTATTGTATCATGCCAATTCTGCAGTTGTGATTTTCCTGTGCATCTGTCAAAAGATGTAAAGCTATATTCAATAATAAGGTAGCAGGAACTTGAGACTGCGTGTTCATTTCTTTTTGTGACAGGAAGGTCAACCTTTTGAAAAGGGATGGAAATTAACATTTCTCCAGAATTACTTCTGGGGTTATCTCTTAATTCCAGAATTTTACTGCATTTGATAAATAGGCCAAATATATATTTTATTTATTTGAGAATGGGAGGGAAGTGCTGAAACTTTACAAATTGCAACTGGCATTGCACTCTGCTGATAAGGAAGGGAATTCGCACCGTTCTGAAGAGATTACATGAAGTAGAATCGGAAAGCAAATTGTATTTACAAAAGATAGGCTGATGTTCCTAATAGGTGTTCAGAATAGACTATCCACTCTCCCATTCTGCTGAGCTTTACCGGAAATAACTTCATTTCTAAAAGGACAAATCTGATTGAAAGTAAAAGCATTCCCTCTCCACAGATACTCTTCGGAAGGGTTTACATTAAATTTCCCTGATGGGCACACAGCAGTATTTTATACTGTATCTGTTTAAACTAGTAATGTGCAAAACACAAATCTAAACTGGATACTTGATTACTTTGTGAAACAACCATTAGATAACTAGATTTATATCTACAATTTTGGAAGAGATGTTGCAATATGCCATTCTGACAATAACTGTCAGAGTTGTAATACTAGGATCTATTTTCTTCTTGTTATCAAGGTAAAGTTATTAAAATTCACAGTTGGTGGGTCAGAAAGATCACTTATTATCTCTTGTCATCTGTGGTTTAGTGCTGACCTAAGCAGCTACTGTGTAGTGTCAAAATTATCACCACTGTCCAAGCTGCGGAAATACAACATGCTACATGATTTATTGCGTTTCCTGTCTGGAATGAAGATTATTCAAAGGCCTACAGCTGTGAGCCTCTGGTTTTGAAGAAACTTAATTTCTTAATTTTTATTTTTATTTTTCCTCATTCATTTTAGATTTTGGATTTAGTCAAGGGGACACATTACCAGGTGGCCTGTCAGAAGTACTTTGAGATGATACATAATGTAAGTAAAAATTTTTTAACTTTGTGATATAACTCTTTGTCTTTTGCTGTTATACGTTTCATTCAGGGTTTTTAGTTAAACCAGTGAAACCAGTCTGTTTTCAGCAGAGAGGAATTTATTACATGACATTAGATAACTTAAAAAATTTATATAAAGGCCAGAGAACTCAGCTTGCATGATACAGTTCAGGACCATTGTAACTAAGAGCGCCTCCATTATGAGAATATCTTGCATTATTGAAGCTGCCACCCACCAGTGCATATATAGGGTAGGTAAACTTCTGTAAAAAGCCAGGTTGTAAACATTTGAGACTTTAGGGTCCAGAGGGTCTTTGTCACAGCTACTCAAGTCTGCCATTGTAATGTAAAATTAGCTTCAGAAAATATGTATGAACACATATGCCTGTGATCCCATTTGTAAGTGTGGGTAGTGGGACAAATTTGACCCATAGCTGCCAAGAAGAGCCAAAGGCTTTTGCTACTTTCTGATTCTTCTACTTTGTGACTGCCATCTCATGTTACTCTCATCTACTTCCCAAGTCTCATGTTTATCTACGTGGCAGAACTGATGTTACACGTGGACTCCTAACATCAGGGGAGTCAGGCAATTGTATCTGGTTTTTATCATGGCACCCCCTTAAGAATAAAAAGGCCTGGTAGGTTACTGGAGTGAGTGCTGAACGATCCAATATTCTGAAATGTGTGAAGTAAGGGGTTCAGAGTCAGAGGCCTCCAGAGAAGAGCAGATAACTCAGAAAAATAAAGCTGGCTGAGAGTAATACCCACAAATAATGGTAGAACTATGGGGCACTGAAGAGTTTATGTCCCATCAGAGGCATTCACGCTGACAAATTAAGGCCCTTCTGTGAGCCAAGGGAACACATCTGCAGCTTATATTCAGCCCACTGGCCTCAATTTGCAATCCATGATCCCAGGCATGGATTCCTAACCTGGAACAGACATCTAAGAATGGACTTGGAAGGTCCATGCACTTGTTGAAGCATTTTATCACTGAGTACATATGTGCATTTGTCTGGAGTCTGGCATTTATCAGGTTTCAAAGGGATCCATGACCCTCCCCCAAAAGATACTGCATTCATTAAATTCATCATGAGTTACTATGCTAGGTTTTCTGTAGTCACAAATTATCTTTCAATTCTGGTTATATAATTACAAAATTTCTTCATTTCAAAGAAAAAATATTTTCTATAATATTACCAATAATTAAAATAGCCAGCATCTGTAGAACCCATTCTGTATGCACAACACAGCACAAAGTACCTTGAACACATTAGTTCCTTTTATCTGCACCACAACTAAGTACAGCTTGTATTCCACTTATGACTGAAACTTAGAGAAGTTAAGCAACTTGTATAGGGTTGTACTGCTGATAAACTTGGATTTGAACCCAGGCTCTCTGTTTCATCTAAAGCTGTGATCCTAACCATCACTGTGCTATTCTTTGGTGGTATCTGGTACTGGATTTATGGTGACTGCTGAGTTGATTAGCATTTTCCTGTCTATATTCATAGACTAGTAAGCATGGAGGAACTTTCAAGGTTATCCCTCATAGTTTGCACATAGAATAAAAACAGGTCTAGCTATTATAGGTGACTTGCCCAACTTACTGTAGATGCTTAATAGAAGATGTGGAACAAGAGGCCCAGCCGTATGTGGGCCTAGCCCTCTTTTTTTCCCCACACTAAATAAGAATATAGTCATCAAAAACCAGATCTCATTATTGTTTCTCAGAGTTAGAATCGCATGGGATAAGCCACATGGTGGGTCTTTTCAGCACCAGTTTTGTGTAATTCAGTCCCTCGAAGGCTGCATTCATTCATTTGCTTGGCCAGCTTGAGAGTTTTAATTTTACATATGCTCTTATTCACTGGTGGACCTTTTTAATTAAGAGGCCTTAGAACTTTCACAAAGTGAGGTCTCTCAACCTATTTCCTTTTTGAAGAATTAGGCTTAAACATTGAGTTTGTGACATAGTCACTAGAAAGGATTTTTTGTAGCTCTCAAATCTGCTTTTGTAGTATCTCTGCAACTGATTACTCCAACTAGAGGACTGCTGCTATTGCCAATCTGTAAAACTTGCCTTAGATTAATGAAGATATTGAAAAGCTTGCATCTGAATTCTCTTACATATAGAAATAGCCTAATTTAAACCTCATATAAATCAATGAAGTAAAAAAGGCTGTTTGTATTCACTAGATCTCAGTATAGATTTTTACATGTATCTTCCTTCCTTCATTTTTATTTCTAATTTAATTTAAAAATAGAATCTATTTTTATTGTGATGTTTCTGCCATCCTTACCACCCTCATTAAAACTGTGTTTTCCTGAGGCCTCTGTGATCAAACTTACTGAAATGAAATTTTGAAAATGAACCAGTTAATTGATACCATTTGCAGCAGCACTGTGATAGTTCCATATGGCTTTTTTGGTAATACCAGCTGCCTCATTATAAGCTGTCATTACGAAACCTCTTGATTAAAACACAAATATCCCATAGGTAAAAGTCTTGCCTCCATTGTTTTAAAAATCTACATTTTCTGTGGCAGAAATATGAGACACAGGTTTGCATTTAAGGTCATTGTGTTCAAAATGTGTGGATTTCAAGCAAATTTGTACAGAGACGCCTTTAGTAGGTATCAAAAGCTGGCTTGTTTGAAACCTGATTCTGTCTGTAGTTTGAGGAAGTGGCATTTAAGATAATTGTATACTGTAGTGTTTTCATTACTTTCTGCATGGTCAATGTGAAAACACAAGGCCTGATATAAGTTAATCTCTTAAGTTTTAATTTAAAAAATATTCTTCTTTAGACACTAATTCTGAATGCTTATTTTCCAAATAGTTGAGCAGTTTTCCCCACCATATAAATCTCTACATAAATCTTAATAAAACCTATCACATATTTTACCGCAATCTTTTTTTTTTTTTAAAGATTCATTTAGTTTGAAAGAGTTACAGAGGTAGAGGGAAAGATGGAGAGGGAGGGGTCTTCCATCTGCTGGTTCACTCCCCAGATGGCTGCAGTGTAGCCAGGAGCTTCATCTGGATCTCCCATGTGGGTAACAGAGTTCCAAACACTTAGGTCATCTTCCACTGCTTTTAGAAGGCCATTAGCAGGAAGTTGGAAGTAGAACAGCCAGGAGGACATGAGCTGTCATCCATATGAGATGCTGGAGTTGCAGTGGCTGTACCTTGTCTACTACAATACTATCCCATTTCCTGAAATCTTAAATAGGGTATATGAAGTACACTTAAGTCTTTTTGTAATAACTCAAGGTCCGGGGCTGGCATTGTGGCACAGTGAATAGAGTTGCTGTCTATAATGCCAGCATCCATTATGGACACCCATTCATGTCCCCGCTACTCCACTTCCAATCCAGCACCCATCTAATGGCCTAGGAGAGCAGTGGAGGATGGTTCAAGTGCTTGGGCCCGTGCCACTCAGGTGGGAGACTTGGAAGAAGCTCCTGGCCTTGGCCTGGCCCAGCCCTGGCCATTGCAGCCAACTGGGGAATGAACCAATTGATGAAAGATCTGTCTCTGTTTCTACCTCTCTCTCTGCCTTTCAAATGAATAAGTGAATCTTAAAAACAAAACCCTCAAGTTATCATTATGGATATCCATTAGAATGCAGGGCCGGAAGCCACCTTCATCTCTCTCTTGTGTCACTGCAGCAGCTCCCTGATTCATTTCCCAACATCCACACCTGCCCCATTTTAGTTCTTTCTCCTCCACTCAGCTGCTGGAGTGACATTTAAAAACTGAGGACTCTGATCATGTCAGTAAGCTGCTTTACAAACCTTTGGTGGCTTCCCATTATTCTTGGGTGTAATGTAGCCTATAAAATCTACCCCAGCCCTGTCCTCTAGACCCTAGCTGTACTGATCCTGCTTCACAGCCTTCACTTTGGATCTTATTTTGTGGCAGAATGAAAATGCCTCACAGAATTTCTGCCAATACCTAGCAATGTAAAAAACATAATAAAGACACATCAGCCACAAATAAAAGCATTGCCAGTACCGTTCACATTAGAAAAGGGGTAATGAAAGAAAGAGAAGATACAGACAAAAGTCATGAAAATGCTCAATATTTCGAAATCTGGAGTAAAGCAAATTGTGTGGTCCAGAGGAATAATGGAAGTATTTCTGCTCAAGAGCCAGAAACTATATGAAATAGGGGATTTAGATGTAGATTCTCCCCTTCTAACAATCTAATTCAATTTTAAAATAAATTCTATTTTAGTTTGGTTTACATTTATCACCTTTTTGGGAGGAAAAAAAACCTGTTTATTTTTGTGAACAAGATGAAAACAAACTGAATGGTAACCATCTAAATATCCTTCAAAAATAAAAGACATTCAGAAGATAAAGAACACAGGCTAAAGGAAAATGCAGTTCAGCTAAGAGAAGGAAGCTCTTCATAATTTTATTTTGATATCAAGCAATGTAATGGACCACAAGGAACATCACAAAATGAGTCAAGAATGGGAATTCCATACCTAAGAGAGAAAGTTGAAAACATAGCATCACATAGAGACATAGTAGAAGCCTTCATTAAAGGCCCTCGGCACTGTTTTAGTTTCTAAGTGTGGGGAAAAAAAATCCTTAAAATGAAGACTCAGGTGTGGGTGTTGTGGTGCTTTGGATTAAGCTGCCACTTGGGATACCTGCATCCTGAATCAGAGCACTGGTTCAACTCCCACCTGCTCTGCTTCCTGTTCATGCATATAGGAAGGCAGCAGATTATGGCCCAGAGGCTTGTGTCCTAGCCACCCATATGGGATATGGGAGATTCAGGTGGAGTTCCAGGCTCCTGGATGTGACTGGACCTAGCCCTGACTGTTAAGGCATTTGGGGAGTGAGCTAGCAACTAGATATCTGTCACTCCCTCTTTCTCATTCACTCTGCCTTTCATGTAAATAAATAAATCTTTCTTAAAGTGTGTATTTCTTAGACATTGTACTTTAAAGTTAAGATATTTAAATGCCACCTATTTGCTAATCTTTTAATGTAATGGCAAGATCTTTTGATTATAGTTTTGCAACTGGAATTCAACTTCCTCTTTCTTTCTTGAACCTACCCATCAACAGTTTCCAGTCTGAGTTTCTTTGAAATAAATAGGTACCCAATACTATACACAAAGCAAGATATTTCTTTCTTTTCTGGAAAATCAGCTTTTTTTTTTTTTAAAGTAACTTGCCTTTTTGAGTCTTTCAAAAACATTCCATTTAGATTTCATAGGCCCGTTGACTCTTCTTTTTCTCTTTTATATATCTTTGGTTTCCTCCATAGCAACCCTCTAAATGACACCATTATCATCTCCGTTTCAGAGATTAACCTACATCAGACCTCATTAACATATTTAATTTTTTCAAACTGAAGGTGAATAATTTAGTTTAATCCAGAGTTTTGTCCTCTGTGTGCTGGTTGCATTGAAAACTTTAATAACTTGAAGCAAAGTGTACTAAATCCCCAGTATGTTGTTATAGCACCAGATATTAGGTTACTTCTACATGAAATAAGAAAAAATATATTGTTTATAATCTTGAAAGCCAAGTTTTAGCTCTAGAAATAATATTTATGATAAAAATGGCATTGTCAGTTTGATTTTGCATTAAACCTCTTAGTACGGAATTCAGAGAAATTCGATGATCTAGTCAAAAGGTCTGAATTTTAATTCAGACAAAACCAGTTATAGTTCAGTGACTTCACATAAGCTGTGAAACCTCTCTAGGCCTCAGTTTCTTGACCTGTACATGGAAGAGATTCAGGTTAAAGGATCCTCAGGGTCCTTTCAATCTCAGATTTTTCTCTGTTCAGAAAATGTAAAGCTTTCCAATGGAAATGTGTTAGACACTAAATGGTACTTACCATAAAATACTTTGCAAAATGCAAAATTTGTATGTGATCTCTTAGTTTTTAATGAATTAGTAAAAATCAAAAAAGTGTCCATTAATAAAAATTATATATGTATCAGCATTCAAGAAGTAGTTTAAAATTGTCAATTTTTTAATAAAGCAAAGGTAAAAAATCTATTCATAGCAGTGTATACACTATCAATCTGATAATAGTGAAGTTACTGTAAAATTTGTGGCTCAGCAACTAAGAACTGACCACAGAAAAATCAGAGAATCTTAAGGTGCTCAAGTATTACCAGAAAACACCATATTTCTGTTTATTGGCACACCCAACAGGATGGTTCATTTTGCAACTCCTTCCCCTGCCAACCCATTTTAATCTGCCATAAGATCATGCAGAGCTCCAGTCACACCACCTCCTTTCTTATGGGTTTTTAGTGACTCCCTGGTGCCTGGAGAACTAGGTCTAGACTACTTACCCTGGTTTTTGAGGCTCTCTAAGGTCTGCTCCTTACCAGTCTTTCCAGCCTCATTTCCTGTCACTCCTTTTTATGTGCCTTTCACACCAGGGCGTGTGAACCACTTGCTTTCCCAGCACATTCCCTCTTCACCTTGCCCCTGTGCTCCTGCTGCTTCTAATACCCGTTCCCTCCTTATCCCAGCTCTTTATTGTCCCCATCTTTCCAGATCCACCTTAGATAGCACCTCCCTCACAACGCCTCCCCTGCTCTCCCCAGCTAGGAGTTTTCTCAGCTGTGGTGTTACTTGTAATGGGCCTTCATCTGTGACCCTTATCCCTGTCCATTCTTGAGTGAAGCTTGTAAGCATATTATTTTCTTTAGATTCAGAGTTATTCAAATGTATGCTGAAGAACTACCAGTCCGTAGGATGCAGTCCTGTACATAGTAAGTCTTCAGTTAATATGTGCGGTGTATATACTGGCTAATTCTGGGTTCAGCTCGCCAAATATTTATATTTCTACTGTGTGCAAGACCCTTTAGTGCAGTGAGATGTGAACACTAAGTAACTTGAGGAAAGTGGCATTTGTGTAGTCAGCTGTAACTGGAGAAGGTAGACAGTAAGGATTTACATTAGGTTGGGTGCTACACGATCAACTCCAACCCACTGGTTGAATATGAAGAAAGCAATTCATGCAGAAGATTCACACTTCAGAAAAAAGTTCTTTGGTTATCTTGCTTTTATGTCACATCTCTGTAGAATTCATCAAGAGCTAGCAAAGGTTTACAACTTTTAAGGAATGAATACAATATAAAATTATTGACTGTGGCACAAGGACAAGACAGCAGAGCACACTGGTTATGAGCAAGGATTCTGCTAGTTCATCATTCCCTGTCTCTAGCCCTGCACAATGTGGTCGCGGACACGACCCTTAATTTCACTTTCAATATTTTCCCAGTTGTTCAAATGGACATCTCAGAACTCCACCACCATAAGTCTGTTGTTGGAAGTAAGTTTCTGTGTGTGTTTCTACCACTTAGAACAACATCTGGCACATTAATAAGTGCTTGCTACTATTGCTGTTTTTCTTTGCCATTAGTAAACTTTAGAATGAAATGTGGGTAAAGGAGTGCTTGTTAAGTCTTCAAATGTAAAAAAGTATTGATATATTCATGAAGGCTCATTGAGTACTAAACACAGAGTGAAAAGTAATTTCAAATGATTTTCAAAATTAGATAGCAGTGATAATATTCTAGAAAAAGAAATAGCATAAAATTCTAAGCCTAGGCATATGTCCATTAAATCTCAGTGAAAATTACATAAAATCTCAAAGATTTTCTCTAAAACATAAGACAAGAGAAAGCCCAAGATTAGTGAAGAAATTACATTGAATTAGGTTGTTTTTCCAGAGTTTGTAGAATACTAAATGAGATTACACTTGCCAGACTAATGGATAAGCTGTTAAATGTGAGTAGTATTAGAAATATCAAAGTGATTTAAAGTGACTTCAAGATCATTTAAAAAAAAAAAAGAAATATTTATTGGCCTACAGCATAGCACCTTTTGATTAGAACTAGGGCTACAGTAATGAATTATCCAGGTCCTTAACCTTAAGTATCACTAACTCACATTGTGGCACACATGAGCACATGTTTACACACACATACACACATCTAGGTTGTTTCCCAGATGTATTTATTACTTTTATCCCTAATTTTTTGTTCTGAGGTAACCAATAAGAATTTTTAGTGGTTTGGATATCACCAGAATTGGGGGCATGGTGTGGATGGAAGGTGTGGAGCTGAGGGAAAGGTGTGGGAATGCCCCAGAGAATGGTGGGGGTACCAGTCTGGGAAAGGGGAAGATTAAAGGGTAAGTTCAGTGTTGAGCTGGTGTTGGATATGGCACTGAGTTGGATTGAGGACTGGAGCTCAGTGCAGAGGTTCAGGTCTGGTTAATGATTGGCCCCAGCTCCCTCTGAATGAAATGCTGTAAGCAGTGGGCTAATTGTTACAAAGGAAGACCCATGTATTAAGTTTTGATGATATGGTTTTGAATTTGCAAGCAGTCTTCAAAATATTCATGGAAATGCAGATTATCTTTTATTCCATTTCCCCATGAACATTTTAAAATACTCTTGTATTTATAGCTTTCTTCTGGATTAATTTGATATAATTTTCCTCCCTGTACAGGTGGATGATTGTGGCTTTTCTTTGAGTCATCCCAATCAGTTCTTTTTTGAGAGCCAACGGATCCTAAATGGTGGTAAAGACATCAAGAAGGAATCCAGTCAACCAGAAGCTCCCCAACCCAAACCAAGTGTCCACAAAAACAAGGATGCATCATCTGCTCTGGCCTCTTTAAATTCCTCTATGGAAATGGATATGGAAGGCCTAGAAGATTACTTTAGTCAGTGACTCCTGGGTGGTTTAGTAGTCATTTTTCACTAGCCGTATTCTTTTTTAACCCTTTTGTTTAACTTCTCATTACACCTTACTCCAGTTCATCTACATACCTACCAGATTTGCAGTTATAAAAGCTCTTCACTATATTTTGCTTCAACCAAAGGGAAGAGGAAGAGATTGTATAGAAGTCCAACTGATTTCTAGACTGGCTAAAGTCCCCAGAAACAACATGGGTAAAAGCAATATAGCTAAAAACAACTTTAATCTTAACCCATTATTACTTTGAAATTTTGACCCAATCCTTTACTGGACTATTTTCATTAATAAATATCTGAATGTATATGACTGTGTGTATGATTGTGTCTCCGTGTGATTGGATATTATCTCAGTTCTTAAAATGGTATTTTGGAATAGCCAATTCATTGTCAATCACCAATGAAGATTTTAAACTGCATGTTGTCTTTTTTTTTTTTTTCTCTTGAGCTGGCCTATTTGTGGTTATTTTGCATGAGCAAGGAGGAGCTTTGGCTCCGTTGAATGGCAGCCTACTCTACTGAAATGAAGTATGACTTGGGAATTCAAGGAAAACAGAATTTGTATAACCAGCTATGTGTTTTAGGAATAGAAGTGTTTCACTATGTAAATAGTGGCCCTTCTCCCCTCCTATCATTTTCCATTGACTCTGGGGACAGGTTCACAAAGAATAGGCAGTTACTCAAGCAAGAAGATTGTAAGTGTAAAGAGTTCCTCCACCTTCCAAGTAAAGCACCCTCCACCTTCAGTACCACATGACTTCGGTGGTTGTTGTGAAACAGATTTGGTAAATTCACTAACTTCAGCCATGAGTCTCATATTTATACTGACTCTCTGCTTTCAGTGTCAGCAGAATTTGGTAACTGTTGGTGATCACAGACAACGGACAGCAGTGTCCTGCTCTGGGTGCCTGCCTTTGGCACGGAGGTAAGGTGGAGTTGGGTGATCTATGGCAGTGCGAGCACTTCTGAGCAGTGTCCTGTGGGTTCCCTAATCTAAGTAACTGATATCCTCCCTGGGCACTCTACTCAGTTACCAGGGATTTGGGGCTCTTCGGACACCAGTTTGAAACATAACTCTTCTTCACTTCTCACCATGGCTGAAAAATATTAGTCTGTTTCTGTCCTCTTTTCCTGCTGTAGAGATGTTCTTTTATCATTTGGAATCAAATACTAGCTAAATTGAAAACTGGACTGTTAAAAGTACAGTGTTTTTAATCATGTGATACACTGTGTCAGTGCAAAAAGGATTTAGACAGGATCAGATCATCGGAACCTAAAAGTGTTAACTGATGGAGTTTTTGTTTTAGTCTTTGAGTCAAAGATCACTTGGAGAGCCGGCGCCGTGGCTCAATAGGCTAATCCTCCGCCTAGCGGCGCCGGCACACCGGGTTCTAGTCCCGGTTGGGGCGCCGGATTCTGTCCCGGTTGCCCCTCTTCCAGGCCAGCTCTCTGCTATGGCCAGGGAGTGCAGTGGAGGATGGCCCAGGTGCTTGGGCCCTGCACCCCATGGGAGACCAGGAAAAGCACCTGGATCCTGGATCCTGCCGTCGGATCAGCGCGGTGCGCCGGCTGCAGCGGCGGCCATTGGAGGGTGAACCAACGGCAAAAAGGAAGACCTTTCTCTCTCTGTCTCTCTCTCTCTCTCACTGTCCACTCTGCCTGTCAAAAAAAAAAAAAAAAAGATCACTTGGAAGGTTTAGTAACATTGTTAAATTAGATACTATCTGAATTTTACTTGCCTTTGTGAATTATTATTACCTTGTTCAGAGAGTAGCATTATTCCACTACAAAAAACCCCTATAACTCTCTCCCTTCCAAAACCATCTGATACTCCTTTCATCATTTTAGCTCCTACAGAAATCTGATGACTGCCCATTTTATCCATGAACTGCAAAACCACAAGGTTCTTTTGTCTTAATATTAAGCATAAGTGCTACATAGTGCTGTTCCTACCACAGAATTGAGTTAGCTTTAGAAAACCAAGCATAGAAATGTAGGTGTCTATTGTGTTAATAGGGAAATGTTAGAAGCAGTCACTGTTCAATTCAATGAGAAATCTTATGACAGGATATTTCATTTCTTGCAGCATTTTGCAAGGCTGTCTTTTTCTACTGCTTCCTGGTCTCCTTTTATGAAGTGTGTGCTTCCAGCAGCTAAAAGGGCAGAGCCATTAACCGTATCGTAGATGTATCTTAGTGGACTATTAAGTCCATACTGGCAGCCCCAAGAATTTGGTGTCATGAATGTTTTATATGTGTTCAGGTCAAACTCCAAAAGAAGACTAGTTTTAGTTGTATTGCAAGTTAAATTTCCTAGTAATAAGGTCTGATCTCATGCCATGTATTATGTAGAATGTATAAACATTTTGTGAGGCCTGAAGATTAGAGGATGGGGTTAGAGGTTTACATAAGAAAACAGAAATTAATGCTTTTCTGGTGTGTTTTAGAGTTGGAGAAAGCAATTTATTTTTCATGCTTCACAGGTCTTGACAATTTTGATTGGATTTCTTTGAAAAGCAGACCTGTTTGAATCAGATGATGTAGGAAGAACCCAAAAGAAAATCCAAAGTCAGCATCTGATTTCAAAACAGTAGCCAGTAAAAACGAGTATGTCTTCTAGATCTTTTAACTTCAAGTCTTTTATTATCTATCCAAGGAAGAGAGACTGTATGATTATCAAAGACAAAAGAAATAGCAGAGAAGAGCTATGTTGGAAATTTGTAGCTGGTTGAAATAATGACATTGTTAAGTGAAGATTTATCAAATTTCAACTTTCATGCTTCTCCATAATGTTTTCCACTCTGCCCATACAATATAAGGCTCTTAATTGCCATGTGCATAAAAGAACACTAGGAAGATTTTAAGTAAACTTTCTAGGACAGCTTATAATATTATGGCGTCATGAAAGTGAATAGTTATAGATTTTGAATGAGCTGGGAAAGAAAGAAAGCAATGGAAAAGACCTTTAATTCATATAGAATTTTAATAAGTTCAGGGATTTCTGCTCTCTCTAAAAGCACGCAGGGTGTTTTACTTGTTACACTTTGCTGTCTTACTGATACTCAGGATCTTTGCAAGCAAACTTCTGTAATTCTTTGCAAAGAAGAAAAGAAAACTTCAGGGATTTCAGCTTGAAAGGCAAAATGAGACAACTCTAAAGTTCTGGTTTGGTTAGTCTACTGTTTGCAAATTTAATCAAGGTCTTCCACAGGCATCAGCTTGCCATTAAATTTAAGTGCCCATTAAAGTGAGAGTTTGACAGCAGTTCTGAATGTGAAGCTCAGTCTGAGGACATCTTTACAGCTGGAAGGGAAAAAAATAAGTCAGGAGGCCTCAAACCACTGTGGTAATTAGATTCATTTGTTAGCTTCTCTTCAGATGCCGGCGAAGGCAGGAGGAGAAAGGGTTGACAGAGAGGCTAGAAACAGAAAGGCCGGCCAGTGCTGCTTCTAGCAAGTGAGCAAGGACGAGGTCACAGGGTCCTGTGTTGCAGAGAATAATGATAAATGTCCCCTCTGACAAATGAGTAAGACTGGGAAATGATTTCAAGAACTCTGCTTGCTTGCTTTCCCTTTCAAGTCTCTGGCACAACCCTCTTGTGTGGAAGTTGCATTTGAGCCAAGGTGCCTGATACTGTGTTGGGCCCTTTGGGGTATGTACAGCATTATTTAGGAGTTGAACCACCCATGGTACATTGTCGACCTGAAAAGCTAGTGTTTCCTGCAAGGCTTTCTGACTTAACAGTCAGGTACTTATTTACTTACCCAAAGCATCTGGCTACCTTTGCAATATTGAGTTCCCTTTTGGCAGGTAGCTACTACTGTAGTCTAAGGCTTCTTACATAATTGGCATTGTAGGCAATTAGCTTTGTGACTCCATGGAAATCACATCACCTGTACGGAAATTATCTTCTACTTCACCTGACCTTCCTGCCAAAAGTGATACTATTTCCTTTTATTGGATTTGCTGTCTATTCTGTAAGCTCTTTTTGTCCATTGCTTCGTGACATTTTATTTTCTCCAAGAATTACCCTGGCAGAACCTTATCAAAGGCTAAAGAGTATGTCTGTATATAAAGCTCCTGTATTTCCCCCTGAGCCTTCAATCTCCGTACTGGTTTTGAACACTGATGACAAGGTAGTGAAACAACATTGCTAATAAATGCATGATTGATTTTTTCAATTCAGCCCTGAGTTTCTCAGCACTCACTCACCATAATGGAACTGTGAGGCTCTTTAGGGTTTGTTTTGTTTTAGCTTTGCAGTGAAAGCATGGAGAGAATAAATTCAACAACATTGCATTTAAGACTCTTTGTAATGAAGAAGCTATCCATCTTCAAATTTTCCTGATTCCCCCCACACCATTTGGAAAAAAGCTAACTTGTACTTGGGTGACAGGGTATACCAAAATCCTCATTACTTATTAAAAAGGATATAATAAAACATCCTTTTCTTCTATCTTCCCTTTAATTTCCAGGAATTAAATTGTGATTTAATGATTCTCAACCATACTTAACTTTTGGTTTTCCATGGAGTTCCTGCTGGTCCTCTCACTCAATGAATCTCCCTTAGAGAGCACATCTACTCCCTTAGTATTACTTCCCATCTATATGCAAATAATTCCCAAATCTGTACCTCCAGTTAAGATCTCTCATCTGAGCACAAACCCATCCATCCAACTGACTCTTGGGCCTCTTAGTTAGGATGTCTCACAAGTATCTCACATTTAATCAAAATGTAACCTCTTCTCTTTCATCACAAATCTACTTCTTTATCACTTACCTACTTTGTCATTGTAGAATTGCCAAAGTTAGCCATGGCTGTTTCCTCTCCTGTTCTCCACACATCCAAGTCCAGTTGGTTCTGATTTAATACCGTGTGTCCAATCTAGTAGAATATCAGCTGGGGGCAATTTTGTGCTGCAGGAAACATTTGGCAATGTCTGGAGACAATTTTGGTTGTCACAGCTGGAACAGGACTTTCTGGCATCTAGGAGAAGGACAACAAGGATGTTGCTAAATATCCTACAGCGCACAGGATAGCCTCCTCCTCCACCCCGCCAGAGAAATACCTGACCCAAAATGTCAGTAGTGTTGGCGCTGAGAAATCCTGTTCTAAACAGTTTCCTCTTCTCTCTTCCATACTTCTATTACATTGGGTCTAGCTGCAGTGACCTCTTAACTATCCCAGCCTCCGCTAGGCTACCCTAGACCCCATTCCACATCCTTCTTCACAGTATAACTCAAGTGCTTTGTTTCTTCCTACAGTTTATCTCTGCTACCCATTTGAGGGAAATCTTGGTCCTATT